CCTTTTTATTAGAGTTTATTTTATGTTGTAGACATAAACTCTACATCATATGTATAGCTAGCATAGAGTTTTCCAGCTTTGTAGTCCGCCTCTTTCTTTGAATATAGTAGCCTTTGTTCTACAGAAAACTCTGAATTTCATGAATTCTCATTTATTAGTTGTTGTTCTTGGTTTCTGTAGTACTTGTTCAGAATTTCTTTCTTGTGCCTAGAAAACTGAAGCACATGTCCCCTGTGTGTGTCTGAACATGTATATGGATGTATGCGTGTGTACAGATGTGTTTGTGTCTTTGTGCACATGTGTGTGCACCTGTGTGCCTATGAAGTCTAGAAGAGAGTAAGAGATTTCATGGAGCTCGAGTTGCAGGTCATTCTGAGCCACCCGACATGGGAAGGAGAACCGAGATCCTGTCTTCATGTCTTCTGAAGAGCAGTGACACCACTTGACTGCCAAGCAACGTCCTTAGCACAACTCTATTCATTATAGACAGGGCCTCTCGCTGAAGCTAAGGCTCTCCTAAGCTACTGGGCCAAAAGAGTCATTGATACACTACTCCCTTCTCCAGAGAGAGGTACGGGTAGAGCTGTGAACTTGGCCATACTTTGCTTTAAAATCGATACTGGCACTCAGAGCTTGTTTAGAAAGCTCTCTTATAGACTGATACATACTAGATTTAATCAGGGGTAAAATATATCATTCATATTTCACTGAATACACAAGATTAATAGCCTGGAAAGACTAGTTATAGACAGTTTGGTAATACCATGAAAAGATTTAGACACAACCGCAGAGTATACTTGGTTTGAGTTCAAGAAACAGCTGTGAGGGTTAAATATTCTCTCTAAGATTCATGTAGATATTGCATGTCTAATTCATATTTTTATGTGATACAGTGTTGGACTGTGTATGATCCTTAAGAGCTAATTGAGTAATGAATGTTAAATCTTGCGAACTGAACATTCAGATCACAGATTAGTTTGTCAGTAAAGAGTTGCTGTCTTATAAAAGCAAGTCTGTCTGTTTCTCATGTTTCATGAGTACTCTATATCAATGGCCGATGTGGCATTAGGATCTCCAGATGTAATTTCTTTATTTTGTCCTCACAGCCACTATAATTATGAAATAAATGATCTTTTATTTTAAAAAATTCCTCAGCTTAATAAAAACAAGAATTAGGAAAATATTCAAAATAATTAGAATGTTTAGGAAAACAAATGTTTTCCAAATGGCTATAAAGAAATAATAAGTTTACTTTCCCTCAGGAGATCTTATTCCCCTGCAGCATTCCTAGGGGACATTTTAAATTGATCCATTTACCCAAGGCAGACATATAAGGGAGGAGTCTATAAATCTTGTAGGTTTAATTTATTGACCAAGTTGCTTAATACCTGCCCACATAATACTAAGCATTTAGATATGAAATGCTGCTGAAACAACTCAGGTTGGTAACAAATGGGTAGGTTTAGTAAGTTTATATCTTACTTTTTTTTTCTTTTTTCTTGTCATTATAGGCATACTTTACCTATACACACTATGTTTAAAAGGCTGGAGACAATGAAACATGGCTTCACAGCACCCATTGATTTTTATAATTATCTTTTATTGTTGGATGGCATTTAGAAATTATTCCTTGAATGTTTATTTTATATATCATAAGAAATATATGCACAAACATACCTTAAAATATATATTTTAGGTCATATTGAGTGATATGTAGTAGACTATTAATTTGTTAACATATTGAAGAACAGAGGTATTAAATCAAAACATACCTAGTATAAAACATTCCCAAACTAGAAAACATGATTTGGATCCTGGATTCAAAGAAGATCTGGCAACAGAGATGGAACTCTTTGAGTAGAATATGCATTTTTGCTTCTTACCTCATGTAGAAACAATTCTCACAATATTGGCAATTTACTTTGAGATCTTTTATATACTTATATATAGTTTTGTCTTTAAGTAACACAGAACTCAGTTAAATCATCTTGAAGTGCTTTCTACTTTTTCACAGGTGTCATTTTCCCATTATCATATAATCAGTATAAGAATCCTGTATTTTCTATTCTTATCTGTCTCCTGCTGAACCATCACTCAGGTTCTCTTGAATTAACACCATATTTTGTACCCTTGTTCGTGTTGGATCATCCTGAGTGCCCATAACTTGATCTGACTTTCCAAGTATGAGTTCCATTATCACTATTTCAATGAGATAAAAAGCATACATGAATCACTTAAGTGTATTAGGTAAAATGGAGATGATCTGCAGATATGTACAGAATCTACATGTATAGTTGATTTTAAGATAGCAAAGAAATTTTTTGTTATATTCTAACAGATTTTTATAATTTATAAAAACTATATTCTAAGACAGTTAATTCTTTTATTAATTTATTTAAATTTATTTTCTTATTATTGAAACAAGGTTTTATACAGCACAGCATAATTCTGAACTCCTTATTCAGCCACAGATGACACTGAACTCCAAAGATCCTTATGTTTTCCACAACTTGAGCACTATAATTATAATCTTGAGACAGTTTTCTCTTTTATATGTTGCTAGCAATCAGTACTAGACTCTGTGCTATATCTTGTAAGATAGTTTATTTAGATTTTAGACAGCATTATACATATTGTTATTTTTTAAAATTAATTAACCACTAGTTTTTGTCTTAAATTTTTATTAATTACTCCAACAATGTACAAATGTATTGAGTTACTCTTAATTATTTTAGTGAGTAGTCTTTCCCACTATCATTGAGTAAATTTTCTTGCTAAACTGAGTGATTGAAGAGCAGTTGTGAGTAACAATATAGATGAACATCTACGTATTTTCCTGAAATGATGAGGTTTTCTCTCTTTCTTCCTTTGTAATTTTTCTTTTTAGATTAACCAATAAGAACTTATGGATAGCCCATGACAGTTCAGTGTCCAAGTGGGTTACATAGTAATGGGAAGAGGGACTGCCTCTGACATAATCTGATTGGCCTGCTCTTTGATCACCTCCCCTTGAGGGGGGAACAGCCTTACCAGGCCACAGAAGATGACAATGCAGCCACTTCTGATGAGAACTGATAGACTAAGATCAGAAAGAAGGAGAAGAGGACCTCCTCTATCAGTGGACTTGGGGAGGGGCATGCATGCAGAAAGGGGAGGGAGGATGGGAAACAGAAGGGGAGGAGGGAGGGGCTTATGGGGGGATACAAAATGAATAAAGTGTAATTAATAAAAGTTAATTAAAAACTTAAAAAAAGAACTTGTGGATATCACCCAAAAAGTGATATTCAAGACAGCATAATGCTGCAAATTACCATGGAGTTGTGGAAAAAACCAGTTGCTTTAGACATGGTATTAATCATCAGAAATGGTCCATTATTCCATTCATCTTGCTTAAAAGCTATTCCAAATTTTCATTAGATAAAATTGATACCACATTTTATAAAATGTGAGTATCTATTATTTTTTAGTCTTTTTTTCTTTATTAATTACTCTTTATTCACTTTGTATCCCCCCTGTGGTTCTCTCTCTCCTCCTGTCCTGTCCCAATCCCTCCCTTCTTCAACCCTCTGCATGTATGCCCCTCCCCAAGTCCACTGATAGGGGAGGACTTCTTTTACTTCCTTCTGATCCTAGTCAATTAGGTCTCATCAGGAGTGGCTGCATTGTCTTCTTCTGTGGCCTGATAAGGCTGCTTCCCCCTCAGGGAGAGGTAATTAAAGAGCAGGCCAATCAGTTCATGTCAGAGACAGCCCCTTTTCCTATTACAATGGAACCCACTTGGATACTGAACTGCCATGGGCTACATCTGTGCAGGGGTCTTAGGTTATCTCCATGCATAGTCCTTGGTTGGAGTATCAGTCTCAGGAAAGACCCCTGTGCTCAGATTTTTTGGTTCTGTTGCTCTCCTTGTGGAGTTCCTGTCCTCTCCAGATCTTACTGTTTCCCACTTCTTTCATAAGATTCCCTGCACTCTGCCCAAAGGTTGCCCATAAGTCTCAGCATCTGCATTGATAGTCCACAGGGTAGAGCTTTTCAGAGCTCCTCTGTGTCAGGCTCCTGATTTGTTCCCTCTTTTCTCCTTCTTCTGATGGCCAGCCTCTTTGCCCTTCTGGATAGAGATTGAGCATTTTAGCAAGAGTCCTCTCTCTTGATTAGTTTCTTTAGGTGTACAGATTTTAGTAGGTTTATCCTGTATTATATGTCTATATGAGTGAGTATATACTGCGTGCCTCTTTCTGCTTCTGCGATAGCTCACTAAGGATGATCTTTTCCAGATCCCACCATTTACCTGCAAATTTCATGATTTCCTTGTTTTTTATTGCTGAGTAATATTCCATTGTGTAGATATACCACAATTTGTGCATCCATTCCTCCACTGAGGGGCATCTGGGCTGTTTTCAGCTTCTGCTATTTCAAATAAGGCTGCTACAAACATGGTTGAGCAAATGTCCTTATTGTGTACTTGAGCCTCTTTTGGATATATGCCTAGGAGTGGTATGGCTGGATCTTGAGGAAGCGCTATTCCTTGTTGTCTGAGAAAGTGCCAGATTGCTTTCCAGAGTGGTTGTACAAATGAGTTATCTCAATTGATTGTTCACAGTCAGTTACAGAATATCTATTAATATCTATTATCAGTAGAGGCAAGAAGATCCAAAGTTCAAGATAACCATTAGCTACATACTAGGTTTAAGGTTCCCTGGGCTGCATGAAGGCTAATTTCTGCTCCTTAAAGAAGAAATATGATGTAAATTTTGTAAAATTTTTCTATAAAATGCTTATTACTATTGAAATTACTATGTGTTGGTGAGTAATAATTGCTAAATTTTAGAGTATATTTGCAAAATATCTAGATATGCAAAACATGATTAATCATTTTCTAATTATTAGTCTCTAACATAAAGACTGTTCTGTCTAGAAAGTATTTCTGTACATTGGTAGCTCTACTTTGTTTTGTTTTAGTTCTACAGATGTTCACAGTTCATGGTAGCAGAAGTGAGAAGATGTTCAATTTCACAGATGTGACAGAATTTGTCCTTTTAGGCTTAACCAGCCGAAAAGAACTGCAAGTACTCTTATTTGTCATCTTTCTCATTGTCTATAATGTCACCATGGTGGGCAACATTGGCATGATGAGATTAATTAAGATCAGTCCACAACTTAGCAGCCCAATGTATTTTTTTCTAAACCATTTGTCATTTATTGATGTATGGTTTTCTTCCAATGTCACTCCTAAAATGCTGGAGAACTTGTTGTCAAAAACAAAAACAATCTCTTTTGCTGGCTGCTTGGTACAGTGCTTCTTCTTCATTGCCCTTGTGCACGTGGAAATTTTCATTCTGGCTGTGATGGCCTTTGACAGGTACATGGCAATTGGAAAGCCTCTGCTCTATGGTAGCAAAATGTCAAGGGTTGTCTGCATTCGACTGATTTCTTTCCCTTACATATATGGGTTTCTGACTAGTCTGGCTGCAACATTATGGACTATGGCTTGTACTTCTGTGGGAAAACTGAGATCAACCACTTCTACTGTGCAGATCCACCCCTCATCAAGATGGCCTGTGCGGGGACCTTTGTGAAAGAATATACAATGCTCTTCCTTGCAGGCATTAACTTCACATATTCCTTGATTGTTGTCATCATCTCCTATCTGTTCCTTCTCATTGCTGTTCTCAGAATGCGCTCAGCGGAAGGTAGGCGCAAGGCATTTTCCACCTGTGGATCTCACCTCACCGCAGTGGGCATATTTTGTGGTACTCTCATCTTCATGTACCTCAGAAGACCCACTGAGGAGTCAGTGGAGCAAGGAAAGATGGTAGCTGTGTTCTATACCACAGTGATTCCCATGTTGAATCCTATGATCTACAGTCTGCGGAACAAGGATGTCAAGGAAGCCATGGACACAGTGATTAGCAAGAAGATCTTAATAAAATAAACTAAAACTTCTATTTTGGTTGTTATTATTTGTCAGGAAAACGGTTACTATTTCAAACATAAGAAAAGGAACATTAAGAGTATGAATAGAAAGAAAAAATAAGTTACACAATGAGAGGAAAATAAAGTGGATTGATACTTGCTGGTGAACGCACTGAACATTGATTCCTATAGAAAAAAAATAATTGAAATGGCACTATGTGTACTCTTAGATTTACTAGGCTAAATATTAACTTGCTTACTCAGAACTGAAATATGTTCCTATTTTTATTTAAATGTGTACCAGGTAAATCTGTGATTTTTTAATATACATTTAGAAGTTACTTTTGCAGGCATAAAATATTGTAAGAACATGATAATGCCTAGTGCTTTTTTTTCTTTCATTTTTTTTTCCTTCACAATTTATTCATTATATATCCTGATTGAAGCCCCCTACTTTACCTCCCCCAAGTCTCACTGTCTCTCTCTTTTCCCTTCGTCCCCTTCCCCTAGTTCACTGAAAAGGGTGATTCTCAACTATTGCCATCTGCCCATGGCTTGTTAAATCTCATCAGGACTGCCTGGGTCCTCTTCCTCTCTGACCCTGCAAGGCTGCATCACCAGGGGCTAGTGATGAGAGAACAGTCAACTGAGTTCCTCACAGAGGCAGCCCCTGCTCCCCTCCCTCAGGGATCCACATGCAGACTGAGCTGCCAATTGGCCACATCTAGGTCCTCTCCATGCATGGTCCTCCTTTGGTGCAACAATTTCTGCAGGATCCCCCGGGCTCATATCTTTTAGCTTTGTTTCCTTGTGTGGCTCCTGTACCCTCCATGTCTGTCTAATCCCACAGCTCTCTTCCTCCATAAGGCTACCTGCACTGCCCAAAGATTGGCCCTGCTTCTTAGCATCTGCCTTGATCCCCTTTCAGAGGACGCTCTAGAGTAGACTCCCATCATGTTTTCTCTCTTCCATCACTTCTGGTGGTCTATCCTGTTTGCCCTCTGAATGAGACTTAGGCTTCCTCCCTAGGGTCCTCCTTAGTGTTTAGCTTTTTTAGGTCTGCAGATTTTAGTATGGTTAGCCTGTAAAATACGGCTAATATCCACTTATAAGCGAGTGTATACTATGCCTGTCTTTCTGTTTCTGGGTTACCTCACTCAAAATGATGTCTTCCAGTCCCATCCATTTGCCTGTAAATTACATGATTTCCTTGATTTTAATACCTGAGTAGTATTCCATTGTGTAAATGTACTACAATTTCTATATCCATTCTTTCATTGAGGGACAACTAGATTTTTCCAGATTCTTTCTATTACAAATAAAGCCACTATAAACATAGTTGGGCAAATGTCCTTATTGAATGGTGGGGCTTCTTTTGGGTATATGCCTAGGAGTGGGAAAGCTGGATCTAGGGATACTGTTAGTCCCAGTTTTCTGAGAGAGCCCTGGATCGATTTACAAGAGTTTTACAAGTTTGCATTCCCAACAGCAATGGAGGAGGGTTCCGCTTTCTCTACATCCTCCCTAGCATGTGGTGTCACTTGAGTTTTTTTTAATAAACAAAATATTTTATTTATATGAAACCTCAAAAAGAAAATTCTTCAAAGCAAATCAGTGATGAGTGGGACTGCCAGGGATAATGTATAAGCAAAATATTTTGGTGTGTGTACACAAACTTAGACACACACACGATGTACATATACATGTACATAGACACATGCACATACATGGCTATGAATGTGTACATATAAAGGCACTTATATGTGTACATATAAGGGTTTTACTTATTTTTTACAGTATTTACATTTTATTAGGTTTGTATCCCAGCTGTAGCCCTCTCCCTCATTCCCTCCCAATCCCACTCTCCTTCCCTCCCTCATCTCCTCCCTGACCCTCTCTAAGTCCATTGATAGTGGAGGTCTTACTCCCCTTCCATCTGACCCTAGTTTATGAGGTCTCATCAGGACTGGCTGCAATGTCCTCCTCTGTGACCTCAGAAGGCTGTTCCTCCCTTGGCAGGCGGTGGGGGGAGGGTCAAACAGCCAGCCCCTGAGTTCATGTCACAATAGAATACTACTCAGCAATTAAAAACAAGGAAATAATGAAATTTGTAGCCAAATGGTGGGATCTAGAAAAGATCATGCTGAGTGAGCTATCCCAGAAGCAGAAAGGCACACACGGTATGTACTCACCTATAAGAAAGGAAAAACATACTAAAAGCTGTACACCCAAAGAAGCTAAACAAGAAGGAGGACCCGGGGTAAGATAATCAGTCCTCACTAAGAAAGAGAAATGCGATGGACATTGGAAGAAGGAGAAAACAGGAAAGAGGACAGGAGCCTACCACAGAGGATCTCTGAAAGACTGCCTAGCAGTGTATCAAAGTAGATGCTGAAATTCTTTTTTTTCTTTTTCTCATTTTTTTATTTAACTTTTATTAATTACACTTTATTAATTTTGTATCTCCCCATAAGCCCCTACCTCCTCCCCTCCCGGTCCCACCCTCCCCCTCCTTTCTGCATGCATGCCCCTCCCCATGTCCACTGATTGGGGAGGTCCTCCTCTCCTTCTTTCTGATCTTAGTCTATCAGTTCTCATCAGAAGTGGCTGCATTGTCAGGGTTCTAGGTTATCTCCATGAATAGTCCTTGGTTGGAGTATGAGTCTCTGGGAAGTTCCCTGTGTTCAAATTTTCTTGTTCTGTTGCTCTCCTTGTGGAGTTCCTGTCCTCTCCAGCTCTTACTATTTCCCACTTCTTACATAGAATTCCATTCACTCTGTCAGTTGGCCATCAGGCTCACCATCTGCTTTCACAGTCTGCATGGCAGAGGCTTTCAGAGGCCCTCTGTGGCAGGTTCCGAGGTTGTTTCCTGTTTTCTTCTTCTGGCTTTCAGAGGCCCTCTGTAGCAGGTTCTTCAGTTGAGGGGCATCTTGACAAAGATGCCAAAACCATACAATGGAAAAAAGATAGCATCTTCAACAAATGGTGCTGGTCCAACTGGATGTCTATATGTAGAAAAATGAAAATAGATCCATACTTATCACCCTGCACAAAACTGAAGTCCAAGTGGATCAAAGACCTCAACATAAAACCAGACACATTAAATCGGCTAGAAAAAAAAAAGTGGGGAATACCCTAGAACTCATTGGTACAGGAGAAAACTTCCTGAACAGAACACCAACAGCACAGGCTCTAAGAGCAACAATTAATAAATGGGACCTCATGAAACTGAAAAGTTTCTGTAAAGCAAAGGACACTGTCATCAAAACAAAGCGACTGCCTACAGATTGGGAAAGAATCATCACCAACCCTTTATCTGACAGAGGACTCATATCCAGTATATATAAAGAACTAAAGAAGCTGAAAAGCAGCAAACCAAGTAATCCACTTAAAAAATGGGGAACAGAGCTAAAGAGAGAATTCTCTGTAGAGGAATATCAAATGGCAGAGAAGCACTTAAAGAAATGCTCAACCTCATTAGCCATTAGGGAAATGCAAATCAAAACAACCCTGAGATTTCACCTTACACCCATCAGAATGGCCAAGATGAAAAACTCAAGGGACAACACATGCTGGAGAGGTTGTGGAGAAAGGGGAACCCTTCTCCACTGCTGGTGGGAATGTAAACTGGTACAACCACTCTGGAAATCAATCTGGCGCTTTCTCAGACAACTAGGAATAGTGCTTCTTCAAGATCCAGCCATACCACTCCTAGGCATATACCCAAAAGAGGCTCAAGTACACAAAAAGGACATTTGCTCAACCATGTTTGTAGCAGCTTTTTTTGTAATAGCCAGAAGCTGAAAACAGCCCAGATGCCCCTCAACTGAAGAATGGATGCAGAAACTGTGGTATATCTATACAATGGAATATTACTCAGCAATGAAAAATAAGGAAATCATGAAATTTGCAGGTAAATGTGGGACCTGGAGAAGATCATCTGGAGTGAGTTGTCCCAGAAGCAAAAAGACATGCATGGTATATACTCACTCATATAAACATACAACATAGAATAAACCCACTAAAATCTGTACATCTAAACAAACTAAGCAAAAGAGAGGATCCTAACTAAAATGTTCAATCCCCATCTTGAAAGGCAAAGAGGATGGACATCAGAAGAAAAAGAAAATAGGAAACAACCTCGGAACCTGCTACAGAGGGCCTCTGAAAGCCAGAAGAAAACAGGAAACAACCTTGAAACCTGCCACAGAGGGCCTCTGAAAGCCTCTGCAGTATAGACTGTCAAAGAAGATGCTGAGATGCTGGCCAACTGATGGGCAGAGTGAATGGAATTTTATGTAAGAAGTAGCAAATAGTAAGAGCTAGAGGGGATGGGAACTCCACAAGCAGAGTAACAGAACAAGAAAGTTTGAACACAGGGAACTTCCCAGAGACTCATATTCCAACCAAAGACTATTCGTGGAGATAACCTAGAACCTCTGCACAGATGTAGCCCATGGCAGTTCAGTGTCCAAGTGGGTTACATAGTAATGGGAAGAGGGACTGCCTCTGACATATCTGATTGGCCTGCTCTTTGATCACCTCCCCTTGAAGGGGGAACAGCCTTACCAGGCCACAGAAGATGACATTGCAGCCACCCCTGATGAGAGCTGATAGACTAAGATGAGAAGGAAGGAGAGGAGGACCTCCCCTATCAGTGGACTTGGGGAGGGGCATGCCTGAAGAAGGGGGAGAGAGGGTGGGACCGGGAGGTGAGGAGGGAGAGGCTTATGGGGGATACAAAGTGAATAAAGAGTAATTAATAAAAAAAATAAAAAACTTAATTTTTTAGGCATGGAATTTTTAAATTTTTATTAATTACAGTTTATTCAACCTGTATCCCAGCTGTAGCCCCCTCCCTGATCCCCTTCCAAAACCACCCTCCCAGCCTCTCCTTTTCCCATGCCCCTCCCCATCCCACTGATAGGGGAGGTCCTCCTCCCATTCTTTCTGACCCTAGCCTATCAGGTATTTTCAGGACTTGCTGCATTGTCTTCCTCTGTGGCCTATTAAGGCTGC